CCTGTGGTAATTGCATGCATGATATCTTTCTCAACCTTAGCTGGAACGCAGGCACCGGAAGAAAAAACATACAATCCATTCTTGCCATCAACATCAACATGATTGAGGAAGCTTTTTACATCATCTATGGCCTTTTTTTTTAATACACATCCCTCACTTTTCCTCATCTGAGTTGGTTGTTGATCTCTGTGTTTATTTCCACGGTGAGCATCAAACGTCATATCTGCATATGTTCGGGCCCACCTCTGATATACACTGTAGTTCTCAACTATGCCAGAGACACCGACACCACTACTACCCCCACCGCTAGATTTGCCGTGCTTCAGGATTATCTCCTCAATTTTCTTGTCGACAGCACATCGGTTCCCTGAAATGAGCGACCTGGCAACACTTATTGCACCTCTTTCGAGCAATGTCATGGCACCAGGATGTGAATCTTCAATGTTTACAGATATCGGGAGTAATTGTGACCAGGTCAGGCATAAGGAAGAGCTTTGAAGCTCTCATATGACTCTATCAACGCCATCAGATCTGCATTAGCCACAACCAATTTTCTTGTCGACAGCACATCGGTTCCCTGAAATGAGCGACCTGGCAACACTTATTGCACCTCTTTCGAGCAATGTCATGGCACCAGGATGTGAATCTTCAATGTTTACAGATATCGGGAGTAATTGTGACCAGGTCAGGCATAAGGAAGAGCTTTGAAGCTCTCATATGACTCTATCAACGCCATCAGATCTGCATTAGCCACAACCAATTTTCTTGTCGACAGCACATCGGTTTCCTGAAATGAGCGACCTGGCAACACTTATTGCACCTCTTTCGAGCAATGTCATGGCACCAGGATGTGAATCTTCAATGTTTACAGATATCGGGAGTAATTGTGACCAGGTCAGGCATAAGGAAGAGCTTTGAAGCTCTCATATGACTCTATCAACGCCATCAGATCTGCATTAGCCACAACCAATTTTCTTGTCGACAGCACATCGGTTCCCTGAAATGAGCGACCTGGCAACACTTATTGCACCTCTTTCGAGCAATGTCATGGCACCAGGATGTGAATCTTCAATGTTTACAGATATCGGGAGTAATTGTGACCAGGTCAGGCATAAGGAAGAGCTTTGAAGCTCTCATATGACTCTATCAACGCCATCAGATCTGCATTAGCCACAACCAATTTTCTTGTCGACAGCACATCGGTTTCCTGAAATGAGCGACCTGGCAACACTTATTGCACCTCTTTCGAGCAATGTCATGGCACCAGGATGTGAATCTTCAATGTTTAGAGATATCGGGAGTAATTGTGACCAGGTCAGGCATAAGGAAGAGCTTTGAAGCTCTCATATGACTCTATCAACGCCATCAGATCTGCATTAGCCACAACCAATTTTCTTGTCGACAGCACATCGGTTCCCTGAAATGAGCGACCTGGCAACACTTATTGCACCTCTTTCGAGCAATGTCATGGCACCAGGATGTGAATCTTCAATGTTTACAGATATCGGGAGTAATTGTGACCAGGTTAGGCATAAGGAAGAGCTTTGAAGCTCTCATATGACTCTATCAACGCCTTCAGATCTGCATTAGCCACAACCTCAGCAAGCCTCTCCTTTGTTGGTGATCGAATTAGCTCTTGGAAGATATTCTTTGATTCCTCAGCTATACCAACAAGTGCATCATCTTTTCCAGTCATTGACAGGAACTCATAAAAAAGGAGCCGTTCTAAGCACTCCACCATTGTCTTGTGACAATGCAGACTCCTGTCACAGTTCTTTCAAGAGGATATCTTTAAGTCCGGATCCTTCCATTTTCTTTCCAAGCATCTTGGAGTATGCACAAATCAAATGGAAAATGCCAATCAACAAAATGTGTTTCTTGTAATTTTATGGATGACTCCAAATGAGAGAAAATGCCTTCATGCACACGCTCAATTCAAATGTTGTTATGACATAGTCTTGGCCAACCTCGTGGATTGCTTCTTCTGCAGCTCTCGGGCACTCTTGGATTGTATCGAATTCTGTTATTGGATATTTTATAACAGGATAGTAATCTATGGTCGTCACATTTGAAGGCGCCTCGCATGTTACTGAGACAAATCCAGTCCAACCTGGAAGCTCTTGACCTGTCTCTCCACTACTTTTCCGGACAAGCATCCACGCAATATCATTTCTGGCACATTGTTTGAATGCTTTAAATCGGTTGACATAGCAAGGTGGAAGAGGACCTTCATGTTTAATAGTCAAGGAACGTTCTTTGGTTCATGTACGTGCTTCTGAGGGTACTGTGCTATTTGAAGATTCAACTGTCTCATTGTTAGAAATCTCCTGCAGCATAATCCCATGGGCTGTGTGGACAGAGCCAGAACCACTTAAGATTGAAATGTATTGGTCGAAATCGTCAACGTCTGAATGGAAGACTGATGGCTCCACGGGATGGCGGACTACCTGTCTAGATAGAATACCAAAAGTCTACTGTAGTGCTTGTGCTATGGCAGATTCAAGCTCAAGTGAAAATGAATAGCTTTCTGAAAGAACAAGGCGATTCATGAATGTGATCAATATTATTGAGCACTGCGTAAGAGATGTCTCAGAGTCATCCATATCAGAATATGCTTGGACATTTTCCACTTTCCATTTGTGGCTGCCCTACATATATCTTGACCAAGAGATATGACAAATCTAGTCACTCTTTGTGATGGTCGAGACGGATTTCCACTCAACATTAATGGTTCAGAAACTTCTCTAGCTCAGTGGGAATCTGGTCATCTATATAGACAATGGCTTCTGCGGTTGAGGGCCAGGTATTTCATCACCTACAATTTAATCTACATATCCTGGCAAATGCTTTCTTGTGGGCTACTTCAATTGTTCTCTGTTTAGCTACTTCATTGTACTTGTCACTTCTCCATTAATCTGGTTCTTAGTTCGCCACATATTTCTTCCGACAGTTCTTGTGATATCTTGCTTCTGCAGCAAACAGATCAACTTCCATGATTCTCAAAAGTAGGTCTTCATCACCAACTCTCTTCGCAACATCTACAACATTTTGCCACCCACCAACATCAAACATTGGTGACTTTCTGTTGTCCAAGAGCTTTTCACTTTGATTGATTTTGGGCCTTCCTTTTTACAAAAGATACAATCAGAATTGAAGATGACTTCATCAATTGACGATTTGGGTGGACGGGATGTTGAAGGTTCTGTGGCATCAGATACGATCTCTGACAGTCGATTGAGATTCTTGGTAAAAAGTTGGTAGCACTCCCGATGATAACCATGCACATCTGAAATGTCTTCAAGAATGAGGATGCATGCTTCTTCCATTGCTACTTGTGTCAAGTTAGTTGAAATTCGTGAAATTGTACCCCGTATACGTTTGATCATTCATTTGTATAAACAACAAAACTATATTATAGCATATAATGGGATTAATGACCAACTGCTGAATAAGTTGGCTTTGTCTGATCCCCCCCCCCCCCTCTTCGGGCTGATGTTGTATGTGGTAATATACTGTATTTTATTTAGTTTGATGTACTGCTTGTTGAGCTTTTGTTTTTTTAAACAGGAACTTTAATTGAATGTACATTATATATACAGAATGTATTAATCGTAATATGCGGGGGGGGGGGGGGGGGGGACAAAATTTGCGGGAAACATCAGATAACATATCAATGAATAATAATACACCAAATTAGGGGGCTAGAAAACTTATTTCATGATAAGAGCAGACAAAAAACAACTTTCAGGTGATTTTGACAGGTTTTGAGACAGAAATTTGCATATAAAATATATGCAAATTGATGATGTCATTAATAATTGAAGACAATAACATAAATTAAAATAATTTTGTCTACCTGTTGTTGTATGATTTACAAAGATTGTTTATTAATTTGATGGAGGTTAGACTTATATCTGCTGGGAAACAGGGTAAAGTGTAAGCACATATTTCACAAACCCTAAGAAAATGTACAATACACGGAAAACTGATATGTTGACATACAAAATAATGGGGAAAAAACAATGTCTACATGAGTTGACTGAATTTTTTTTGCAGGAAATATCAGATAACATATCAATGAATAATTTTACACCAAATTAGGGGGTTTGAAAACTTATTTCATGATAATAGCAGACAAAATACAACTTTCAGGTGATTTTGACAGGTTTTGAGACAGAAATTTGCATGTCAAAATATATGCAAATTTGTGACGTCATTAATAATTGAAGACAATAAAATAAAATAAAATAATTTGTTCTACCTATTGTTGTATAGTTTACAAATATTATTTATAAATTTGGTGGAGATTAGAATGTTATCTGCTGAGAAACAGGGTAAAATGTAAGCACATAATTCACAAACCCTAAGAAAGTGTGCAAAACACGAAAAACTGACATTTATACATAATCTTCAAATAAGGAGCAAAAAAACAGTGTCTAAATGAGTTTTTTTCTTGGGAACGTCTTTTTTCTGATATTATGGACCCCAATGAACAAAGTGACACCCAAAAAGTAGGATCATAGGGGGGGGGGGGGTGCACGGTAGCCCCCTCTGGCCCACGGACTAATGGAGCTGGGCCTGTATCACGAGTATATACTAGTAGTGAGTTGGTTGATGTTCGAAGCCACGTACAAAAGTATAATCGATTACAACAGTTGTGGGGCCGATATCACGAGTATGCCTTCATAAAATAAAGGTTTTAAAGAAAATATTCACTTCTACTTTCAAAAGGACTGGCCCATTTGCTTTAAAAAAATTGTAGAGTTATTATTATGTAATTTCTAGAAAAAATGTCAACCACATCATTTACAATGAGTCTAAATACATTGATTTGCCGAGTTGCTTCCTTTTATCAAATATACACGTAAAACAATGGGGGGACAAAATGTGCGGATAGCAAACCGCACGGATCGTCCCTCGGACGATCCGTGCGAGTCACGGACGATCCGTGCGAGCAGAAAACCCGCATATTATGTCCGACGGACAAACGAAACTGGTAGGACAAACGGCGCGGTCACACCGGCTAACTCGCACCATATGCATGCAGCACATTCATCAGAAAAGTTGACAGTCCTGCAAACTCGCTACTCGAGGGTTATCAATTGTAAATCAGATTTTTAAGTTACTGTCTGTTTACCAACACTCTTTAGCAAGATGCCGCCGAAGAAGAAGAAGCAGCAACATAATGGATTTTCATTGTTCATGCTAGAAAAACAGGAAGAAATGCGTCTGAAAGGACGCAAAGTCTCAATGCAGGACATGGTCCCGATTGCGCATCCAGAGTGGAAAGTGAGTATGAAAGAAAGGTGGTCATGCATGCATCGCGATCGGGCCGGGGTCGGGCTAATTCAGCACTGCAGTCTGTACATGTTGCGCGTCGAGCGCGAGGGTATCTCGCATCTCGTTCTCGCAGCGATCAGTTTTCAAATTCAAGAGCTGAACCATATGTTGATTTATAAACCTTCCTCGAAAGAGTCGAAATAGCCATGGTTTTCAAGTTTCCAGAATATCATCACTTGAAGTTTTTTAACATTAGCCTGCACTAGATTTCTAGTATTAAAGTAAAATTTAGTTGATATTTGCAAATGCCTAAATTTATTTAATAGAAAATGTCTTTGAACTGAGTTTGACTTTGGACAAAATAAAAAAAAATTGTCATTTCTCAAAACTTGAATCGCTAGTCTACATACCAGTGGGATTCTAAAATTGGCTAAAACGGTAATGTCAGTCACTCACTGTGAGGTAGTGCTGGACAAATCACTCATTTGGCGTGATTTGTTCCAACAACAACAAAAAGACAACAAATTTCAAAATATTTAAAAACTAAATTCAAGGAATAAACTTAAGGTCTAGGTGGATATATTATTGAATATTTGTTTGTTTGTACGGCCCTTGCGTCTCTGAGAAAGTACAGGCCGGAGAGTTGACCTGAACATGGTCTTTGTCACAAGTGACTGACAATGCACACACCAAATACACCCTTTCACGGTTACAAGTTCAACGCTCATGCGCTGACATTGCCGCGCATCTGAAAACATTGATGACGCAATGTTTACGTGCAAATTAAAATGGCGGCCTTAAAGATAAACTTTAGTACTGGTAAAAAAAGAAAATTAATTCTCACAGAATCAAACGAAACTTACACTGAATGTTCAAGATTACAAATAAATGACATGTGCCAAACAATTTTGGAAGAAAATGTATACTGGCTGAGTAATTAGCATATATAAAGACAAGGAAATCAAGGTAGTACTAGCCCCGACACCATGTGTGTTGTCCCATATATAGCTTTCTGTGTTACTTTACCAAGACTCGGTCAAATTTATTATGATTTTGATGACTCCAGAACCTTGCAGTGCACACCAATACTTACATGCTACATGATCAACTGTTTCTGATCCTTTCAACACCATTTCTTTCACAATGCAATCGCATGACCAGTACTAAAGTTTATCTTTAACCATGAAAGGTTGTAATGCCCATTTGACATTTTGAGATTTGAGTACATTCTGCGAAGACTGTGATGATGATCTCACAAATGAACAAAGATTTGATTGCCCTACCAGCCAGGCAATGTCACCAGGGCCAGGTTGGGCCTCTGCTAACGTTGAGCCTCAGTGTAGTCCCCTTTATGATAAATTTGTAGGATTTTACACTGTACTGTCCTCCCATGCCTAGATTTAATGACCAAAATACACTCTCCCTTGATATTGTTTTTAGAGGTAACCCGATGATGTCCTGAAAAAGTAGACGGCTAGAGAGAAAAACCTAATGACGATGTCGAGCCTTAGGCTAAGTTGGGGTAGGCCCACCCATCTTTAGAAGCTAAATTATAACATTTGTAGGATTATACTGATTTAGTGCTGGTATGCCTAGATAATGTAATGATAATCATAACATAAAAAATAATAAAAACATGCAATGTAATATTCCTTGATTTTGTTGTTTTTCAGAGCTTACCTGCTGAAGTCCAGAAAGGGTATACAGCTAGAGCAAAAGAGAAGAAATTTGGCCAAGGAACCTCAGGTTATGAAGGGAAGTTAGATTGTACAGGACAGCTCGTTACAGTAAGTTTCCATTCCTTCTTTTTTCAGATCGTGTTTGGTCTGCTTAGATCAGAGTCATCATTCATCAGATCAAAATAATCATTTAATTTCCTCTGTAAAACAACACATACAAAGATCAGTGACAAATTATTATGGTAAATAAAAGAGGTGGGACCAAGCTGCAGGATCATAAAAAGCACAAGAGGTCAAAGAAATTACCCCTGAATACTGAGATGCCAACCAGTACGATTAAATCGTTTTTAGTACGATAATAAGAGTGAAATACGATATTATATGATATCACCTATTAAAATACGATTTTTCCAACAAAAAAACAAAAACAAAACAACATTTAAAAAAAAATTAAAACCCCATAAAAACTGCAGAATCGCATAGAAACATGTACAAGTAAACCCCCCCCCCCCAACCCCGACAAAAACTTTGCTTACAATTTCTCATTAAATTTCAATGAAAGAGCAAACATTTTACTTGACCGTACTTACCAGTAAAACATTTTTCTGAAGTTTTACTGGCCTGGGGCCGATGAGCCAGTGGTAGTGTCGAGTTTTCGTGAAAATCTGATTTTTTTAGGACACTCAGTCTGTTTTTTTGTGTCAAGAGGCTGGTATCTCTGTGAATATACTTGCATAAACTGTAACATTATAATGAAAAGTATCGTAGATCAATACACAAAGAAGAGAGGGAGGAAACTTTGATCACAATTCAGTTTTCAATGGGAAATCAACCCTAAGAACTATATTAACATTATTATTGAAGCTACCACCTACAACTTTGATCTGGAGCCTACGGGAATGAAAACTAAGCCTCTGACAGACGAAGCCTCGAGGACCTTCAGACAAATTTTTGGAGGGTTCCCTAGACAGTCAGCCCCCACCAGACCAACAAGGGCCCTTTCGCAAATTCACTGGACCAGTCCAAATTAAATAGTGTTATTTTCATGCAAGCAAGCTTGAAAAGTAGCCCCCAAATTGTTAAAATAACCTTTTCCCTGTTTTGGGCTGTCAATGCACTGAGATAGACTCGTTTATGGAAATGCACCTGAATTGATACACTGATCATTCAAATATGCAGGTGTACCTACAGCATTCCATACATGCACTGTAAGTATGAATTGCGCAATAACCATCTTGTGTTTACATGTCATGGCTTGGAGATTGTGAAATTTTCTTCATAGAATGGTTCCTCATTTCCGGATTTGGTAACAATTTAACAATCCATATTGCGCAATGACATGGTATGCAATTTACATTAAACAAAATGTAGAACAATGAGTTCTGCAAAGCTCTAGAGGAGTTATGATACCCCTATGAATTACAGGGAAACTTCAGTGTGGCGTGTGATATGCCGTGACCGGCAACCCAGATGCCAAAGACCCAATAAAAGAGACCATGCAGTACTGTGTACTGGTTACACTGAAGCAAGCAAGTGGGGTTCAATCTGCAATTTAATACAGAACAAACAATAATAAGCCATCTTGCATAAACCGACTGAACCATTTACATTTATATGTCATACATGTAGTCTAAGATATATTTGTTTCTCTTGTATTTGTTAGAATCGTTTTTCAGTGGTTGAATACTTGGAGAAGAGAAGACGAACAGAGTCTGCTGCCCTCAAAGATTCCTGGTCTACGGGTCAAGGTAATTAAAAACACAAGGTTAATCCTAGTTCTTCTGATTGATGGCAGTACATCCCTAGGTGTGCAGCTCATGGTATTTAAATGCATTGTTTAACAATGTTACATGCAAATCTGAGATGCACGGCCCTATGTGTTATCTGTGTCTGTGATATGGTGTAATATTGAAGCCCTAAAAAAATTGTGCTTCAAAATGATCATGAAGTGGCTCAAAATGATCAAGAAGTGCCCCCAAAATGTAAAAATCTTTGAGTGACCATTTTTACCATTCATTTTCCCCAATAGACTGTAGTGTTATGATACTGTTAGGAAAACGCAAACTTTGAATTCGATTTTCAATCACAAATATCTTGATAATCAGACAGGCGATTGGCTTGTGAAAGTCATGGGGTTCCTGACTGACCTAAAGGTTTGATTGCAGCATGAGCTAAATCAAGGATTTTGTTTAAGAATCTGAGACGATAATATTTTTAGGGTTAGCAGATTGGTAAAAACTGATTATTATTTCACTAGAAACATACCTCAGATCTAAGCTGCTCAAAGAAGAGCCGTAAAAGGACTGTCAAAACTGTTTTCCTGGACAAGTGTTTTTTTGTGTGCAGTAATACAAGTTGTAGTAGTGTAAAACGCTTTAATAGAGATGATATTTCATATTAAAGAGAAGGTTGAGTTCTGGGAAGAGGTGACAAATAATTTGTGAGCATTTCATTATTATTATGCAAGTGTGGAAGAACATCAGATTAAAAATGTGCCCTAAAAAGCATGGCTTTTCAAATGCCATAATATTCTAAATATGGCATGTAACAGCATAAAAATCAGGACAGATTTTTATTCCACATGTTCGTGTAGTCCCACATACATCTTTCTGGATGTGTACAGTGCTTGTAACTTTACCAAGACTGGGCTAAATTTCTTATCATTTTGATGATTCCAGAACCTTGCAGTACACACCAATACGCTAGATGATCAACCTTTTCTGATCGATTCCACACTGTTTCTTCCACAATGCAATCATATGACCGGGGGGGGGGGGGGGGGGGGGGGTTCACAAAGATCCTAAGTTGAACTTAAGCTCTAATTTGGGCTTAAAAATTATGAAGAGCCATTTGTAGCCTTGAAAAAAGATATATTAAAAAGCGGAAAATCAAGTATTTTAGACTTTTTTTATAAATTCCACATCAAGAACATGAAATCTCCTTGATAATAGATACATGTAAGTTCAAGATCTTTGTGAAACACCCCCCTTGACTCAAATTTATCTTTAAGCGCTACATAAATTCAGATGTATTACTACAAC